GCCCTCTATGAATAAATAACACATTTGAGTGTTATGAAATAGGAAGTAGATTCTTCTGTTAAACAGACACAAAAATGAATTCTTTTGTTAAAATGCCAACTACAATGCATCATCTTCAACCTTAGTGATAACTGCTCCTAGTAGATTCTGTCTGTTCCTGGAGGCCGAGGCTGGACTTCCGGTGCGGACATTCCGTCTGTATGGACTTGTCAGGGCAGTAGTGATGGGTGGGCATAAAACAAGCTGCACCGTGTGATTCAGACAAAGGGACTTTCATCTTGGAGCTGTTTCCACCAGAAAAAAAAAAGGCTTTTCAAAGCCTGAAAAAACCTCGGAGTCTTTTTTGATGCTGAAACGGTTGGAAGGCTCGCCTGTAAGTCTCGCCACAAGAGGGTGCTCGGCGCCCAAAGCTGGAGCACATGCGCGCAAAAAAAAAACAAAAAAAAAAAAAAAAAAAAAAAAAAACAGCTCCGGAATATTTCCTAGGGCCCAAGGTGAACCGGAAAGGCAAGGACAATGATGTGCTGCGACCTGAGCCGGGACCTGATACAATTCACAAAGGAATGACGTCAACACAGGGACAGTTCGGCAGCCCTGTACCGTTACAGTAAGAAGAGTGCGCCCTTCTTTCCTTAAGGAACGCAAGCAGCATAGAGCAGGAATCATAAGCCATTCAAGAAAATCTGACTTTGTTACATTAACAAATGCTGGAAGCAGAGGCCAGGAAGCAAGGGCTGTAACACAAGCCTGCTCATCTTTTACATTTGTATCATGTGTTCAGTTCCATAAAGATCATGGCTGTACCTGACCATAGATGTTCTATGTTTACAAGGGCCATTTGTTTTTGTCTGTCAGGAAGGACACATTAACATTCAAATCCTTTAAATGATGTGCCACTAATTAATACTTACTAAGGAACCTTTTAACCACCACCACCACCACCACCACCACCACCACCACCACCACCACCACCACCACCACCACCACCAGACTGCTAAGCCTCACCCTGTCGTCATTCTCTTTAATAACATGGAGTACAATGTTTGAGATTTTAAAAAAAGGGCCAAAGGGGTAGTATTGATAATAACTGCTATTATTTAGTGAGTTGTTACTATTTTCATGGATAATGCAAACATTTTCAATCTGCATTATTTTATTTAATCCAAAACAGACCTTTTGACATATGCATTACCCTCCTCTTACACGTGAGACAGCAGAGACATGAAAGTTAAATAAACCAGCAAAGTGATCTCTAGAGCCAGGATTTGACTCCAGGTCTTTCTAATTTCAAAGCTTGGGGGGAAACTTAGCTAACAGAGGGCTGGAGAGGTGGCTTAGTGGTTAGGAGCAGCGCTCTCCCAGACTCTATTTCCAGTGTCCACACGATAGCTCTCAATGTCCTGTGAGTCCGGTTCAAGAGGGTCCAATGCCCACTTCTGGCCTCTGCTGGCACCAGGTGTGCATGTGGGTGTAGACACACATGCATGCAAATCATCCATACACACAAAAGTAAAATGAAAATATTCACAGGCTATGGTTTTCAACTCATTGGAGGCCAGAATTTTCTCTTACACAAAATAATATTGTCTTTCTTGTAATGTCATAAGAGCCTTACTGAGGTAAGATAGAAAGACCAAAAACTTTAATAGGACAAAGGAAGGGAAAAGAACCCCTCACTGGGGGGTCTAGTTAAAATCTGAGAGTCAAGAATTTCAGCACAATTAAAATATTAGGAATGCCGACAAAAGACTAAATACCCTGAATCTGACAGGAGAAAAAATGGGATATAGTCTTGAACTCATAGGAGAAGACTTTCTGATCAGAACACTGTTAGCACAGGCACTCAGATTAATAATTAATAAATGGGGCCTCCTGAAGCTGAAAAGCTTCTGTATGGCAAAGTTTGGTTAAAGCAGCAGACTACAGAATAGAAAAAGATCTTTACCAATTATGCATCTGATAGAGAGTCAATTGTTGTGGAATATTCCTTTACACTGTATGAGGATATGTCACTGTGATTGGTTTAATAAAAAGCTAAATAGCCAATAGCAAGGCAGGATTTCTAGGCACTGAGGATGCTGGGAAGAAGAGCAGAGACACAAGGAGACATGGAGGAAGCAGGAAAGCAGGATGGACAGTCCATAGATGAGGTAAATGAACCTTGAGGCAGCACATAGATTAATAGAAATTGGTTAATTTAAGTTATAAGAGCTAGTTAGAAACAAGCCTAAGCTATTGGCTGAGCCTTCATAATAAGAAGTCACCATGTGGTTATTTGGGAGCTGGCTGATGGTACAGAACAATCCACCTACAGTTAACATCTAAAATATATAAAGAACTAAAAACAACTGGACATTAAGAAAACAAATAACCCAACTAAAAATGGGGTACTCAGCCTGGTGGTGGTGGTGGTGGTGCACACCTTTAATCTCAGCACTCAGAAGACAGAGTCAGGCGAATCTCCATGAGTTTGAGGCTAGCCTGGACTACAGAGTGAGTTCCAGGATAGCCAGAGCCACAGAGTAAACCTGTCTCAAAAAACAAAACAACAACAACAACAAAAATGAGGTACCCAAGTACCCAAAGAGTTCTCAAAAGATGAAACACAAATGATAGAAACACTTAAATGTTCAATATCCTTAGTCATTAGGGAAATGCAAATCAAAGCGACTCTGAGATGTCATCTTCTGCCTGTGAGAATGGCCAAGATCAATAGAAGGAATGATGGATCAGTGCTAACAAGGATGTAGGGGGGGGGGAACACTCCTCCATTGCTGGTGGGAGTGTAAACTTGTACAGACACTATGGAAATCAATGTGGAGATTCCTCAGAAAACTGAGGACCAATCTCCCTCAAGACCCAGCTATTCCACTCTTGGGCATATACCCAAAGGGTGCTCCATCCAACCACAGAGACACTTGTTCAACCATAATCATTGCTGTGCTATTTATAGTAGCCAGAAATTGTGAACAGCCTAGCTGTCCCTCAACAGATGAATGGATATAGAAAATGTGGTACATTTACACACTGGAATATTCCTCAGCTGTTAAAAGAACAAAATAATGAAATTTGCAAATAAATGGATGGAGTTAGAAAAAAATTATGCTGAGTGAGGTAACATACATCCAAAAAGACAAATATGGTATGTATTCTCTTATATGTGGATGTTAGTTGTTAAGCCTTTGATAGAGACTGTGGCAGCATGCACAGGGCCTGCACAGGTCCAATCCAGATGGAGTCCCGGTGCTGAGAGGGGAGCTAGATTAGAGCCCCTTTACCTAACCCAGAAGCTATCTCCAATCGACAAGGAAAAGGTCAGTTTTTTCCCCAGTGGAGTCTCACTGGGTAGACAAGCTACAGTTAACGGAGGCCCCGTGCCCAGCAGTAGATGCCAACACAAGACAAACTCAGTGTTCAATGGCACTTTTGAAGATGTTTTGTCTCATAACACTTTGTTTGGTCTTCTTTTTACCCTTATGGGTCTTTTGTTTAAATACAGTTTCTGATTCTATGTTTTTATGGATTTGGTGTGTGTGTGTGTGTGTGTGTGTGTGTGTGTGTGGTGTGTCTGCATGGGTATGTTTCTTGTGCTCTTTCTTTCTTTCTTTTTTCTTTCTCCTGTCCATTTCATTCTGGTTTGATTGTTTCTTTATTTGCCTGTTTGTTTTCTAAAGAGAGGCAGAAAGAAGGCCTGGAGTTGAACCAGTGGGGGTGGGGTGGGGGTGGGGAGGACCTGGGAGAGATGAGAGAGGAGGGAAATCATGATCAGAATGTATTGTGTGGAAAAAAATCAATAAAACAAAACCAAAAAGTCTTTAAGTATGGCTACAGCTGCCTGTTTACGTTTTGCACAAGTTCAGACCAGTCAGCATTCTAGCATGGAGGGAAAGGGTTTGGGAGCCCCCACACGTAGCTGAGGCGCTACGGAGAGTTGACAGCTTCTGGGAGGGAGAGTCCAGTTTCTTTAAGGATGTGGCTCTCAGTAGGCTGACCATGCTCCAGGAATACATGGGCAGCACAAACTGGAGCTGATGGGTTGTTTTTTTGTTTTTTTTCAAAGCAAAGGAACCAAAATTGGGGGGAAGCAGGGGTAGAACAGGGAGGAGTTAGGGAGACAGGCTTGGGGTGAATATGATCAAAATGCATTGTTAACATTCTCAAAGAATTAACAAAATATTTTAAAACTGGCTGTGGGGGTTGCCTGCATTCTTTCTAAACAAACACATTTATTTCTACACAACAAACGGTAAAAGAGCAATGAAGTGCAGGACCTCTGGGCACTGCCTTATCCTTTCCAAGGTATAAACCTGCCAATATCTGGGAATCTCACAAACAAGACTCTAAAGTTATAGTAGAAAACGTTTTAATTCCAGTATGCAACTCTGTGACCTACAGTTTTACCTTAGCAGCTGTAATCCCATCTCACCCATCACAGGAGCCAGTCTAGGACTTGTTTATGCTCGTTAGCAACACTTTCAAATACAACTTCAAAATTGTGTGTGTGTGTGTGTGTGTGTGTGTGTGTGTGTGTGTATACACATGCACACTTGTATGCACAAACATTGTACACACACACACACACACACACACACACACACACAAGCTATTGTAAAGAAAAGCAACTCTTTTGAGAATCCCACACCCACACTTGGATGCCTGATATTTTTCTCTTCATTTTCTCTCCCTTAATGCTCATATTCAAGAACTATGTTACAATCTCTTCTTTAAAAAATAATTATTAGCATATGAATTATACCTAACAGTGAGCCCTGTGCTGATATTTTATACACATACGCACTTTGATCACGTTCACTAAGCTACACCTTTTGCTCTCCTCCCACTCCCACTGATGCCCACCCCCAAACTAGTCCCTCTTCTACTTTCATGTCTTGGGGGGCGGGGTGACCTAATGGGCTCAAGTAGGGTTAGTTACAAAAACCTCTTCTAAATAAACTCCAACTTTCACCCATACTGGCTCACTCTGAAATTATTTTCTGCAGGGCAGTCAAGAATGCCAGCGTCACCTGAGTGGAGCTCTCTGAAGACCTCAGGATTCTTGGAGGCAGCAGCCTTAAGTGTTACCAACTCCCATGAAACCCATTTCAAACTCGTATGATCAATGTATGACTGCCTCTTTTAAGAACCTATCTCACCCTGAGAAAGAGTGCTGAATTAAAACAGGTCATACCTTTGTGCAGAATAGAGTATCCAGTATGGACGGAAAAATTTCAGTATATATGTTCCTCACATCAGGGAGAAAAAAAGGATTCTTCTTCAAAATCAAAATAAAAAATCTACAGAAATCCCTCTCAAACAAACGCATTCTTCCAAACACAAAAGAACCATTTCCAAGTCACAAATTAATTCCACATTCTGTAAGCACTGTAGGCACAGAGAACTTGGTGCACCCGTGGGCTCTGACCTGCCAGGTTCCAAATCCCAGGTCCTGGGACCAGGCAAAGCTATTGGCACACTCCCATCCCAGAGCCCGCCCAACCCACGCAAGATGCTGCCCCTGGAACTCACCGTAGGTGAAGTACGCCACTTCTGGCGGAAGTGAGGCGTTGTGCAGCGTTACGTCCTGCACGTACTGGTCCACATACAGCTGGGCCTCGCTGGCCTTAAGGAAGGCCATGAACCTCGCGGTGAAGGAAGCCACGAAGATGGAGAGCATGCCGAAATCCAGTAGGTTCCACAGGTGCAGCACGTACTCCCGCGGCCCCTCTTCCCAGATTTCCTTGCATTCCGACCAGATCATCCCTGTGGGAGAAGGCCAGGCCCATCTTCAGTTTCCCTGGCAGACGCCAAGGGAACTAGGTAGAAATGAAAGTGTCAGCTGTGTGACAGCTGGAGACAGAGATGGAAACACCTTCAAAGACAGACCCCTGGGAGAAGACATGCCTCTGTCCCTGACATTATGAGATAACCGTCTCTGAAAGTGAGGAGAGGGTCCGCATCCACGGCCAGACTTTGGAGGCGGTGTATGGGAGATAAGGCTGCAGGAACCCACACTTTAATATGGAGTAATTATAAATTAGGAATGCGAGGAGCTGAGGATGAGGAATTTCTGAAGGTCCCACATGTGATGTGGAATTCAGTTACCCAAGTTACAGAGTCTTCTGTCTCTGTGGTTGTTTCAGTGAGTTTAAGCTTAAGGTTACTGGATTTTCCCACTTTTAATTAGTAATTAAATAACGAATTGGATTTTAAAGAAATCTGTCTTCATTGTTACACAGTAAGCAATGTAGAGATAGAGGTATATAATTGAAATGTTACAGGGTCCTCCACCCTTCTTCCAAGACAGCCCTGTGAGATGGCCTAGGCAGTGGCCATCTCAACCTTCCTAATGCTGTGACCCTTTTACATTTCCTCATGTTGTGGTGACCCCCAACCACAAAATCATTTTCATTGTTACTTCATAACTGTAATTTTCTACTGTTATCAATCGTAATGTAAATATTTGTATTTTCCGATGGTCTTAGGCGACCCCTGTGAAAGGGTTGTTCGACACCCCAAAAGGTCATGCCCTACAGGTTGAGAAATGCTGGCCTATGCTACCGCTTTGGTGTATAGATGTCTAGACCTGTCACTGTCTAGTACTGTGGCCACCTTGTAAACATCCCAGGTGAATATATTCCTACTTTTAGTTAAGAGTTTTTTGTTTGTTTGTTTGAGACAGGGTTTCTTGTCTAGCCCTGGCTGTCCTGGAGCTCACTTTGTAGACCAGGCTAACCTCAAACTCACAGTGATCTGCCTGCCTCTGCCTCCCTCCTGAGTGCTGGGATTAAAGGTGTGCACCACCACTGCCTGGCTAGTTAAGAGTTTTAAAATGAAATTCCCACCATGCAGAGAAACTGCAGCTAGTGAATATCCTGCTGGTGCCGGAAATGTCATACCCCAAGCTGGCATCCTTAGCCTCCCACCCTCCCTGGCTCCCGTTGCCCGGTACTCCTCACATTCCCGACTCCTCTGGCAGACAGTCACAAGAGATCACCACATGTCTGCAGCTCCTCTGATGGACTTTCAGCTTCATGTTGCCCTTTCACATTTCACCTCTTCACCTGTTCAACAAGTCATGTGATGCCCCTTCACTTCTTTCTTTGACACCTGCAGTGTGTGTGTGTGTCATAGCCAAAGGTAGACTGTCGGAACTCCCTGTGGTCTCCCACCATCTCCACACATCAGCAGAATGGTCCCCACAACAGACCCCAATGGTTCTGCCCTGGACATTTGCATGTATTCCTCTTGCTTTTCCCCAGACTGCATAACAAGCCCACTGACAGCTGCCCATATTACAAAATGGGCCTCTTCGAGGACTCAGCTGCTGAAAACACGTGGAATCAAAGATGATGTTGGCAGTGGATGATGTGGCGGCTCTGTCCTCCAGAGTGTGGCTGCCTTGGTCTCCAACCCACCTCAGAGCACGTGAGAGTGAGGGGCTGATTGCCTTCAGTCCTCAGGGACCCTGCCCAGGGACTGTTTCGATCCCATCAAATAAAAGGAATTGAAATATTTTTCCAAGGCCAAAAGCAGTCAGAGCATCTGTCTGTAGAAGAGTCCTGTCTTCGTTGAAGATTGAATTGGAGTTCCCACAGTGAGAAATGCCCTTACCCCTGCAGGTCTGTTTACAAGACTTCTCACAGCCCCTGCTTATTTTTCTCTTAACAGAGCCATGTCTCAACTTACCCTACCAAACTCTGGGCAGCAATTCAGTGGATCATAAGCTTCTTAACACAGAAATAGACTTGTATCTGTCTATTTAAAAGTGTTATTAGAAAACCCATTACAGGCTGGGGAAAAATGTGGTTTTTTTCTGGTTACTATCTGGGATTCAGCAAACACTGGGCTCAAGTTCTCGCCTAGCTGTTCACTGGCAGTGGGACATTGGATAAGTCTCTTGATTTTGAGTGTGTTTTGGAGGAACTTCAAACACTAAGAGCTCTATGAATCTGAAATGCAAATTATTTTCATTAGGCACTGAAAATGACTCCATGGTCAGATGTCCTTGTCAGTCTTCCTAGATTTAAATATTAATCACCTAGGTTAATTTAAGTCATTCCAAGGCCATAAGTAAAAGTAACATGGAGTGAGGGTTTGAGCAGCAGGAATGCCTAATGAAAACAGAAGTGTGTGAAATTAAGTACTTCAGTGAGGGAAATTGGGCCTCCTGCTTCCAAGAGGCTGGGGTACTGTAAGATGTTTTATAGTAGCTGAGCCCCAGGTCTTTCCCCACAGCATGTCAATCAGAAAAATGTGTAGAGCTCAGGGGCCCAAGGGGTAAAGGATGCTTGGTACTTGAGATGACTCTAGGCAAAGTTCCCATTGCTCAAGAATGCCTGGAGCTCAGAGAACAAGGTCACCAATAATTAAGAAAGGTTCCTGGCAGAGAAGGAGGTTAGAGCATGCCAGGAAGCCTCAGAGGGAATCCGAATCTTGATGCACCTCAGCTTCTGGGTAACGTCTGCAGTCTGTGTTGAGGGACTTGACAGAGGGAGGGAAAGGTGCTGGCTCCCGTTCTGGCCTCTGTGGTGCTCAGAAGGGCGTCGCTTTCACTGTGTCTTGAGATAGAAATATGTACATTTCTTAAGTAGTCAGAGGCTCCTGCTGCTGTAAGCCAGGGTCCCACGTTTACCCACTTCCTCACGTCAGTCTCTCACCATTGGGCCAGCACAGAGTGCTCTGTGAACTCCCAGGAAGGAAATACACCCAGAAGCTCTCCACCCAGCCCTAGTATCCAATGCTGTCTCCATGTGAGGGGCTTGCTTGCTTGGCAGGTGGGAAGATGGTATTAGTAATTTCCTAAGAATATGTCTGTGTCTCTTTACCCCCTTTATTCTGACTGCAGCAGCCAGCAATTGTTGGGGTTCCTTCCAGGCACCCAGCCCTGGGCTAAGCATTACATCTACCAATTGACCCTTCTGAATACGCTGACTGACAGCAACTAAAATTATCTCTGCTTTCAAGATGAAACTCATGCACAGGGTTGGCAAGTCAGGTGTCCAAAGGCAGACAAGCAGTCCAGGCTCTTTGCTGCCTACGGTGCCATCTCCACCATGCCCTGCAGTAGACACAAGCTCAGGCTGATTAGTCAGAAGTCATCCACTAAGCAGATGTGGAGGTTCAGGCACCAATCTGGGGCTGAAACCACCAAGAGAGTGAGAGCCCTTTGCTAGAGATCTCCTGTTGCCACTTGTCAGTACAGCTGCTGTCCTAACAGTCATACAGGGGCCAGCCATGGAGACACGGGAGCAAGAGGGTCAGCATTGTACTCATGGGACCAAGTAGAGTGCCTGTGTGCTGTGTATTTGTAGACTCAGGGAAAGGATGAATTCATGGAAGAGAGGTTTCTGGGCTAAGGAACAAGAAATTAGCCAGGTTAGGGGGAAGGGTGTTCCAGGCAGTGGTCATTGGAAATGTGGAAGAGTAGGTCACTCTAGGGAACTGTAAGGTACTCAAGTTCAAAGGTGAGGAGAGCCTTTCAGAATCTAATAGACTCTCCTCCAGGTCTGTTGAGAAGGCTGGGGTTCACCCCAAGCCCATCGATAGTCTTTAAACATGATGAGCAGGGCAGTAACATGCTTTGGCATGCTAGAAGAAACTGGTAAATCATCTGGGGTGTTATGTTTGGACTTCCTGGCTAAACATGCAAAGGCTCCATTAAAAGAGTGAATTTGTTAAGAACCGGGATGAAGTAATGGAAACAGAATTGTACATTTGCCCTCTCGACTAAACATGGAGGTTTAGCTCCCAGTCAGGAGCTCAGACTCAGCTGTGCCCTCAGAGTTTACAATCCTGGCAGGTTGTGGGGAGAGAGCCGGTGTGAGACCGAAAGCCTGCGAGGAGAGAGCACGAAGGTGGACGGGACGGTTTCCTGACGGGCTGCCCCAGTCCTGTTCCTCTTTGCCGCATTTACATGTATTTTACGCTGTCTTGATATTTGCATCTCCTTCCCTCAGTGGAGTTTTCAGCACTGCTTTCAAGTGTGGAAGAAATGATACCAGGGCTGGAGAGATGCCTCAGTAGGTCAGAGCAGTTGGCCACCTGACAACGCCAGCTCGATCGCCAGAACCCACATGGTAGAAAGAGAGAAGTGACTCTTGCAAGCTGCTTCTGACCTTCACGTGTGCGCATGCCTGCCTTGCCAGGAAAGAATGAATAAATAACTGTGATGGGGGGAAAAAGACAACTAATGCCGGGTTT